TCTTAACTCGTTGCCGAACAAATGAATGAACGTGTCACTAATACACTCTGTACCCTTGATCTTAATATGGAAAGCCTTCCAGGGTATCGCCACCTCTACAATATCGATCTTGTTTAGACACGGTGCACACGTGCAAGCAGAGCAACGGATCGGTGAATGGGCAATATATACTCTTATTTTTCAACGACAACTCTCGCTCCCGCGCACGGGATACAAGACCAACTAGCCCGATAGAAAGTTTTATTCTCAGAGCACAATGCAGGAGTGTCTTGCCCCGTTCTATGTTCAGCAAAGCGGAGTGAGCGAAGTCCCGTCTTCGAAGACCGATCCTGACTGTCCAGCGTGCTCATGATCGGGCTGATAGAGTAGACCTGCTGGTCTCGTCTTGGGATCAGCCGGGTGCGCACTTTATCGCGTTTTGCTTGACCAAACAAAAGGTATTTTACTCACTCACTCATTTTATGTTTCTCGCGTGCAACAAGAGGCAGGAATAAATGACATAATGTAAAGGCAGAGGGTAATCGTGAATGGAAAAAATGGTTTTCTGGTTAGTCTGTGGCCGAGAATATGTGGTTTAAAATGAACATTGTTGAGCATGCACATGACCCAGTTTGCAAGATATATTTATTTTGATTTACCTGCCCTTCGTTCCTCTCGACTACAGCTCGCGTTGACGTAAGCCAGCCAATCAAAAGGAAGTTATATCGTCTACAAAACATGGCGACGAAGCGAGGCCTCCTCTTATCGTAAACGAACTGAAGTTTGCGAGTGTCTCGGCACTGGTACCAACCAAGAAACTTCCTGATGATGTGTTCGACTGGTCAGGCTTTGAGCGATGCTGGGAACGCGCAGAAACTTTCTCGACACATGGAGAGCTAGTTGTGGCGAACGCAGATGGCGACGAGTGTGTGTACTGTAATGACTTCCAAAGAAGATGCAGGAACTATCATTTCGTTGTTAGCTCCTGCCAGTTGCGGAAGATTCCATTTCTTTGTATTCTCAAACAAAACGCTTGACTTCACTGTTCGCTATACGCTGTCAGGAACTTTTTTGAGGCCGACTTAAAACTGCACATCCCCTCTACTGTTCCTGCATCGGCTCATTTTCCTCTTACTGCTTCGTGATGACTAACCAAGTAGGTCGGAAATGGGAATCACTTGAAAAGTCAACCACGGAACCGCATGACTTCACATCGTGGGGAAAAAGAGGGGGTGGCAAGGTTTCATTGCAGCTCCCCTTTCCATCTCCCCACCCATAGAATCCCCTTTGTTGAGCCCAAAAACACGTGCTTTACAATAGCATGGGAAAACATGCTTGGTCCCTGACATCGAGATCTCGTCACGTCGTCATTGTTATCGCTATGTGGTCTTCTGAACTGTTTTCTTTAATGTTCTCAAACTGCAAACTTGCCAAGTATTTAGGGGTACGTGCTACGAAATAATGCTTGAACTGAAATAAGGCTATAATCGAATTCGTTTCTTGGTTTCATGCAGGGGCTCCCCGAATGGAGCTTTAGCGTCTACGCTGTTCCGCTATATGCAGCGTCTTTTACGAAACACCGCGTTGGCAGGCTATGGTCGTGACATCCTGGGACGCTTTGTACAGCCGCAATTATGCGTAATAGAGGCATGCGAAGGGGAGAAGGCTGGCAGGTTATCCAGACAGCAGTCCTGGTTGCTACCCTGCAACGGCGGAAAAAGGAAAGAGGGTGGAAGACGAGAAACAGAAAGAAGGAAGCGCAAAAAAAGGGAGAGGGGAAGGAAATGATCAACAAATGCGCTGACACTTATGTGGCTTTTGGCACAACAAAATAGTCACAGACGTTCACAAAGGTCCATAGTCCTTGAAAAAAAAAACACACACAATAAAGTTATACCTGCCTTGTTGGACGACCAGCGATGGGAAGGTGCTGCAGGACCATCTGCGCGGAGAGTGACCAATCGTCAAGTCATCGCATCACTTAAAAAAAAAAACGTTCGTCTTTGAGAGGGAAATCGGGGGCAGTGGCATAGCAGATGATCAATGTCTTTCTCGGGGCCACAGACTTCGCATGCCGCACTTTTGGTTACTCTGATGAATATTGGTTATGCCTTCGTAAAGGCAACCCCCAACCAAAGCCGACAAAAAAGTGAAGATTCACGTTAATTGACAAACTCCAGATGGAGGTCGGACTTCTATCATAGGGTTTCTTTGGGGGAGTCTTGTGTGTCTTGGCGAGTTCCACTCCACCGAACATATACTACGAGCCAGGTGACGCAGCCGCCTGGAAACTTCCGTCCCAGAAAGACGACTTGGAATAGTTTACTCTCATTCACGACATGTATACGAGCCGCTTTGTCTGCTGAAACATTGCCGCTCATCCCGCATTGAACAGATGTGCTCCCGCAGGGAAGACAGGTAAAAACATTCGCAGGTTTTCTTATTCACTCACCTAAGACGAACGGAAAGGGGAAAGCCACCTTTTTCTTCTCAGGCGATGCTATATCGATCTTTATCCGCCATCTTCCGAAAGCTTTATGCGCATAATGGGGCTCTCTGCTGCCTCCAAGATCGGAGGTATTTCATTTGGTTTTCTACTGACTATGGTCGGCCCAACCTTTAGCAAGTTCTAAAACTACATGCGAGGACGCCTCAATGACACAAGTTTTAGTGATTATGTTACGTCGTGATGACGTCATATGGTGAATTCATGACAATGCACAGTAGTGTGACGCCGCCGAACCTGTCATGTCACTTCTGTTCTCTCCTCGTGCTCTCTTCGCTCTCGCAGTCTGTAATTCTCGATGTCTGCTCTTTTTTGTCCTTCCTTTCTCTGCTGGTTATACCAGCGGCACTCAGTGCAGGAACGGGTCCCAGAGAGCTGTGCTCTAAAAAAACATGCAGATACTAATCTCTGTTACAGAGATTAGTATAACACGACAGCGAACCGTGTTTTAACAGGAGTAGTTGACTGTTTAATCAACATGGAAGAAGTCCTCATACATCGCTGACGCCTATAGTGGCACAAACCCATCCCTACAATGTCCCGTATCTTGACTTAAATCTCGCGGCCGCTGAAGGAATTAACGTACACTCTAAAACAGTATAGGCCAAATCAAGCGGAAAGATGACTATAAAGGGGCACTAACACAAAATTTCGCGGCCGAGATAGCCTGTGGGGTTGATTCCCTAGAACATTCGTATATCAACAGCGAATATAGCTGGGAAAGTATTTTCGAAAAAATTCGAAGTTTGCGTGAGCCTTTGATTCAATCGCGCTATTAACACCCTCGAAGGGGATGCTGAGGTGACCCCCGACTTCCCCACGTCATCACGCTGCAGTCAACAAAACAAGTTATGATAACGCCATAGCCACCATTTTTTTTTTTTGCCGCGTTTGTTCCGGCAGCTTATACTTTTTGGCGGCTGGTTGCGAGTGAGTGGCCGTTGCGCTCGCTTAGAAAGACTTGTTTGGCGACACTGCAGTCCCATTTCTTATTCAAAAGTAATTCATGATGCAGAGCGTGCGGAAGTGTGTCACATTCTGTGTGGTGACGTATAGTCAAGATCTGCTCACGCCATTTGGCGACAGTTGCACCCATTTTTTGGAGTTCTCTCAAACCGAAACTAAAACTGATCGATAATAAGGGGCCTGTAGTTAATTATTTGTTGTGTGCTGCAGCAAACGATGTGTCGTGTCATGACTAATAGGCCCCCAGCAATACTTCGCCACAGAGAAACATGAGGCCAAAGTTTTTGTGTCAGTACCCATTTAGGAAGCTCGTAATGAACACTGGTACTCAGTATGCACTGAATCAAAGCGTCGTCATCTTAAGGTACAAACGCCAAGGCGTGCGATCCACAGTAATATCTACACCTCTTCAGGAAGACGAGAAGCAGAGCTCGTAGATGAAGCAATGATTGCGGTTACACAAACAACCGAGCATTTCTCACTGCACAGAATCACTCACTGCGTGAGATTTGCCCTTCGACGCCATTGTCTTTCTGTGCCGCTTATCTGTCAGCTGGATTCACGGCCGATTACAGAAGAGAAGATCCTGGGACCTTGGCCGACGGCTTCCCATACGCGCAAAGCCACGAAAGCCCTCTTGTACTTTTTAAGGACCACCAAACTTCACGACCGCTTGTGAAAGAACTGTGCGAGGCCGTGCTGTGTAGTATCGAGCTGACTATTTATGCTTCTCTTTCTTACTCCTCTTCTTTTCTGTCTCTTTCCGTTCTATTATTCTCCTTTTCCCCCACCCCAAGTGTAGGGTAGCCAACCGAGCCAAGCTTGGTTAGCCTCCCTGCCTTTCCTCTCTATTTATCTCTCTCTCAGCCGGTGCTATGTCACTGCAATTACTCAAAGCAATAGCTGGCCTATACAAACGCCGTTCGTGCTTGTGGAAGCTGCACTACTCTGTCAACAAGCCGTCAGTCTAACACGACACGAAAGGCGGAATTTGTACTGTGTTGTCATACAAATTGAATGATCGGATATGAAGAATCGCACCAATTGTATATATCCCATAATTATGCATTGAATGCCTCCGTTGCTCTGAAACTATCGAAGCATTCTCTGTCGGTCCTGGTTTGTCTCATGATGCAGCGCTTCACTTGGCTGCTTCTAGACGGTGGCACCACTCCAGCAACGAATAGTCTGAGATGGAGGTGCGAGAAATATAAAGCAAACTTTTATGCCTCATGTATGCGCGTCTGTGGTGCGTTAGGCGCAGCGCAGGGCAGCTGTCGTCACGAACCGAGAGGTCATGGGTTCGATTCTAACTAAGGTCATCCAAATCAACAACACTTCAGGTTTTTTTTTCATCTGTTCGTGAGCATTTTACACACGTCATTACCGTGACGGAAATGATGTCAGTGAAGTCTTGCCGGAACTCAGCATATAAAACTCTTTCGTTATAAAGAAATGATAAGTGCAATCATAACGTTTCTCCTTGAGCAGGAAAACTTATGAGCTCCTTGTCGCCTCTTTTGACCCATCTTTTTTCTTTCTTATACAGATAATTCCTGTGGCTACCCGGGATGTCCGGCTCACGCCACTGTCGCGTTCTCGAGAGACGACATGACTCCCAGCACTGTGGCGACGTACGTCTGTGATCCAGGGTACGAGCTGCTGGGTCCGTCACGGAGAGTCTGCACCGTGAACGGAACCTGGGTGCCAGAGGGAGTTCCTTACTGCGGTAAGTGTTATACCGCCGAAAAATTGATATATTGCATTTTACTTTAATGCGACGCAGTAAACTTATGAAGCAAAGGAGGTATCGGAGTTCATTAGCGGGGAAAATCACGAACTCGGTCAAGGTGTGCTTACAGTGTGAACAGGTGCTTCATTGCCTGCCCTCGCTACAGCTCAGACATTCGGCCTCTCCGAAAGACTGAATGTGGGAGCTGTAGTTATATGATACTTTCCCGAGGGTGTCGGGAAAGTAATAGAAATATTATATTACAAATATGTGCGAACATACGAAGCTCTTGAATGTTCGATTAAACAGTGTGTTGTTCCACTCTTCGAGCAAATGAACCTGTTACGCAGAGTTCACAAATCTTTCTTAATATGCTTTATAATGGCAAACAGTGGAGCATTGGTAATACTTCTGGCAGCAGATAGCGGGTGAGATGTACAAAAATAAAAAAAGACCGGCACATACGATTCGACACAAACAATGTGATGTGTGGCTTTAAAAACATTGTTAAGAAGGGTGGCATATCCAGGTATCATTGTATAAGATTTTTGTAATAGCCAATAGCCTACTATAAACACTACGGCTATCACGAAGAAACTATACAAATGCGCTTCTGAATCGGTCACCTAACTTTTTAAATTTTTTATTGTAGACTAGAATTAGATACGGTAGTTTTTCCTGTCTACGTCTCATTGTAAGAAGTTAGCAGTTTTAGCTCGAACAGCGGTCCTTTATTTTTTTATGCAGACCCATAGAGCGCACCTGAGTGGGCCGTTTCGATTGCACTGAATGATCCGCTTTTAAAGCTAATCTTAAACGAGTCCATTCCCCAGTGACCGTCGAACTCGGCATTCGCCGAGCCGAAACGGGTTCCGTGACTACGAAGATCACGAGGGCGGCGGCGGACCGTTGTTGGGATACTCACTGCCAAGGACGAGCAGCTGTCAATCAAAGCAACAGTGCCTGCCACGTCGAGGTACAGCGGACTATCGGTCTTCCGCGTCGACGGCCTTCAGTCGACCCGGTGCCGCTGATGATGCCGTCCGAAGTTGACGAATTAAACGTCAGGTTTCGTGATGCCCCAGCAAGATCGCGGAAGTGCTCGAGATGCGTCTGGCCGCTTTCGTAACAAAAGCTAAAGAAACAGTAAACACAGCTAAAAACACATAAATACTTCCTTAAAAGCTCGAGTCAGTGGGAAGACTGTGCGCGCGTATACACATATTTGAGCTAAGGGCACCGTGCGCTGTACAGAGGGCGCCACGTGGTTCTCTTTCAACGGCCCAGTGTAGCATGCACTGGCCACTAGGGGCAAGAAGAAAATGAGAAGCACGCACGAGAGGTGATGATGATGGAAAATAGAGGGAAAAGGAAGGCAGGGAGGTTAACCAGCCTACAGGCAGCCGGTTTGCTACCCTGTGCATGGGAGAGGGATGGGGGAGATGAAAGAGAGCAGACAGGAGAGGTGATAGTCACCAGATGGTCAATGTGACAGTAGCGCCAGGAGGCTCAACCTTGCCGAATGAAGAGGCGAAATGGAGCCACACCCCCCAGCCCCCTCTTCACGCACTGTTCATACTGAATGACAGTCATATAGCGTTGTCTTCCGAAACAGTTTTAAGCAAGGGCTCGTTGCAAGGCTTTCTGTTAGGGATTCATTACATGGAGCAAGGCAACAAGAGAGGGCCTTCTCTGCTGTTTCTTCTCCTCTCTCGCTTCTAGTCGTGTTTCACTGCTCCATGTAACGAGTTTCAATCGCGGGCCTGGCACTGTAAGAACACCTGCTTGCCACGTACAAGTCCGGAATTCAGTTTCCAATTGAACCGGAGACTTTTGATATTTATTTGCGTCAATTTTTCCATTTTTACTCGAAACCAGCGACACCGATACAAGCATTTCTGCGAGAGGAGCTGTTTAAGCTCATTCCGTTAAATTTCCGTTCCATGGGAGCTTTTTACGGGACATTGTAAGCTACAAGTTTGTGTCGTGGGTATGTGGTATTCAGCTACACAGGAGCAGCTGCGCCGCGCGTCATGCAGTGTTGTACGTAGTGTAGAGTTTTCATTTCTTGCATTCAACCAAACTAACATTTCCGTTTAAAGTTCTGCGAATGAAAACGACTCTTTGCCTCCTTGCATTTTATTTTTCATCGGCTACTTCAACGAAATTTTTTCTAACTTCAAAAAAAAAATTCAAACTCGTTGGGAAAGATGCATTTCAGACGGCTCTCATCAAGAGGGCTGAGAAAAAAAAAAGCCAAATACATCCAGAACAGACACATTAGAAGAACCACCTCGAATGAACACAAGGCTGTCGAAATCTGTTGGGATCTCGCATCGACCGTATCATTTTCACCGCAAGCCGTATCATCTTGGTCCATGGACCCGGCGCTCCGCGTGTACATCAGAAAAACCCACGTGTTTACTCATTGTTTGGCTGTTTACTTTCATTCCCGTTTCCGCCAATATTACAGGTTCCCGATGTCGGAGGTCACGAAATTCAAAACCAGTGCAGACAGATATTTCCCCTAACGACATGTGCGCGTACTGCCCCCCCCCCCCCCCCCCCCCCCCCCACACACACACACACACACACACACACACACACACACACACACACACACACACACACACACACACACACACACACACACACACACACACACACGTGTCTGTGTGTGTTCAATGACTGTAACTAACGGACACTGACCGAGAGTCGATACACGTCCATGGACGTAGTCACTGCAAGGCATTGCGTTAACGCGTCACGATGTACCCTAGTTGATGCTTCCGTCAGCGACGTGCAGTCACGACGACCGCAACGGCACTTCCTACGTCGCAGACAGGCATGCGATGCCCAGAAAAAAAAAGAATTACAGAGAATCAGAAGACGACGTGCCCGCATTGTAACACGGGAGAAACGAGGCACTCCGACTGACATTGAACGGACGATAAAGTGCAACAGCGAAGCTCACACACATACACATTATGACCAGGAGATACTCCAGTGTGGACTCGTTCGTACGAAGAGACAGAAAAGAGGGAGAGGGGTTGACAGACGCCTCGTCACACAAAAGGTAAATAACCAGAAGAAACAAAAAGAAGAGCTGTGCGCCATCGCGAACTCTCTTCCGACCAACGCTGATGTCTGAGAGGTCGGTCCATCTTTTTGCGTTTTGCCTTGCACCGATCGTGCTTTTTCGTCGTCTTTCCTCGTTCTTTCTTTTTTCATTATCCGGTGGTCAGCACGTAGTGGAAAGGCTGCTGGTCTCGTCCGAGGCCCATCCGAGCGTGGTGATCCGCCCCCGGCGGACGGAGGACAGCGACCACTCGCCGTGTCTGTCGTGCGCTGGTCGAGCGAAACGGCTTTTTTTCCGCTCGACTAGACAAGCCGCCACAACGACGATGCTTGGGGCAGATTACACTCCGCTTGTCGCAGGCTCGCGTAGCTCGAGCAAACAAAGCTGTTTCGCTCGGACCCCAAGCTCACGCATTTGACATAACATCAGGCGGAAGGATCTAGTATACAGTGTGTATATGAAGAGGGGGGCGGTAAATTAGCCCAAACAAAGGCAATGCGATAGAAGGAGGGGTGACTGAAGGTGAGCCCGAAATATATGAGGGCGTGTGCATTAGAGATCAGCTTGTGTGCACGCAGGAACTATCTTTCAGTTGAGTTGCTGCAAAAGATAGAAAAAAAAAATAATATCCGTGGGGTGTGCCCGAAATATACGAGAGCATATGCATTGAGAATCTGCTTGTGTGAGCATGTCGGCAACGACTTTCCGACAGTGCCTTTACGAAGGATCGTGTGCGTTGCGACAGGGCTAAATTTCACGTATGCATTGTTACCCTTGTGTTGTTCCGTCATCTAGGCGCGTACTCTCGCTGGATTCCACTTTGCCTTATAACCAGAATTTTGAGTGACTTTGCTGTCGTGTGGGCTGCCTCGCTGTTGCATTGGTGGCTAGAATACTGGTTTTTGTAATGCCTGTATACTTTAAGTTCTATAGTTTCATAGTTCTGCAGTAGTTATGGTGCTCGACTGCTGAACAGAAGGTTGTGGGTGCGATACCAGCCGTGGCTGGTTTCATTTCTATGCAGGTGCTATGTTTTTAGATGCCTGTGTATGTGCGATGCCATTACACGTTAAAGAACACCCAGATGGTCAAAATTTCCGCAGTACTGCACCGCGGCGGGCCTTCTTGTCACATCGGGGTTCAGGCACGCCAAATTGAATGCATCAGTCAATACGTTGGTGGTCGTATGCGGGGCTAAGTTGTCAATGCTTGATTCGCTTGTGTCCTAAACACACTGTTCTTTGTCAATATTTAGTCCAATCGTTAGGTGAATATTTACAGCATGTCACAGCTTTTGAGTCCGCGCTTCGATCCACCCAATGTCCACTGTCATTGTACAGTAGCTATACGAGTCACGGAAAGTTTGCAAATTGTGCGTGTGCACAATGAATAACTAATTTCTAGCAGGATCGGTTACAGTATAGGTCATGCCATGTTTTCAAGGTTAGCCTTATGTTTTGGAGCGAAGGTAAGCACAAAGTGAAAAAAACACAAGTGGTCACCATTTTAAGAAAAAATAACTTTGGAATCGTTGAAGTCATGCACAACATTTCTAATGGGATTTCTTCGTTTTCGTCTTGTAAGAGTATATCGGTATAAAAATTTATTTCAGACGGTCCTTTCGCATTGCCCATTCAACCGTTTGCAGTCGAGGCAGCATCGGAAGCTTTCATGTGCAAGGCGCTGCGGGAAGAAAACGCAGAGCAGGGTTTTTTCAGCGACGTATACTGCAAACATGCAGCAAGAATACAGAGCCAGGCCGGCTCAACGTTTTATCCCAACGGCATCTCGCTGCTTTTCTGAAAAAAAAAAGGCCCGAGAACTTTCTAACGCGCGTATTTCTTGATGGAGAAGCACAAACCACGGATTTGTAAACATTTGCTCTTCATTTTTTTTTTCGGCCGCATCAACAGAAAGA